TCTTTCCCTCGCGCGTCTAAGTACTCCGTGGCACATCGGCAAAGAGATCATGAAAGATCCGCCTCGAGCATCAGGGCCGTACGAACTTTGGTCCCGTATTATTTCCTCCCCCCGTTTCACCCGGTTCCGATTCTATCGTCCACGCGATGGAACAACCCCACGTTATTCTCGTCTCGACCGAGTGCCGATTCCTCTCGCGTTCTCCAGTCGGCTCGTCGTGGTCGTGCAGGTTCGCCAGGCATAACTCTTGCCTGCTCGCAAAGGGAAAGTCGGAATGAAATATGAATTCCTATTAGAAGCTTCCTGAAAGCGCGGCACGTCGCGTCCGCGGCCCGCTCGTTCTCGTAGGTGTTAAGCTCGAGTCGAACGGATTTAATCCTCGTGTGCTTTTTAAAAGGTCCCGCGGGAAGAGGCAGTGCCGACCCGAGGGAACGGATCTGGTCTCTGTGGCGTGCACGGATCGCGGCGCCCTTTGTGCCCGGCCGCCTAGGCTCGGGGGCGCGTCAAATTTGGTTGAAAATCAAATTAATCTCGCGGCTGGGCGCAGGACCCTCTGCCGTCTCTCTCCATCCGCTCTTCTCCTCGCTCTGTCTCGCCTCTGGCCAGCCTGTCTTCGTCCCTCGTTTCTCGACGACACGAGCAAATCGAAGGAACGGGACTGAGAGGAAGGTGGAGAAGGAGGTGGACCGGAGGTCCTCCATGCCACCGACACGGACCTAGAGGCGAGAAGAGAAGGTGGCGCAGCAACAAAGAGCTTTGGACTTCTGGCTGCGACCCGGCCAGGGCCGTATTTATCTCGATCCTTTTTCTCCGCTCCGATCGCCAGGCGGATCGAAAGGATTCGTCGGACGAATCCGTATAAAATTCGGGGGGACAGGATCCTCTGGAGGAAATCGGATCGTCGACGCGTTTCGTTGCACGCGTGTTTGTCCATGTGCACGGATACTCGAGGAAACGAGACACGGGTGTTTGGACAGGGAGAAGAAAGTGGTACTCGTGAATTAAGTACGGCCCTGTTGCATCCTACTCGGTCATTCAAATCTCCGCTCGTGGAAATGAGATGGGCGGCCGAAGCTCGTAGCCTGAATCACCTCCCTTCGTTGCCACGTACAGGGTGATTCAACGAGAATCGGCTGGAGAGCTCTAATTTCCACGGACCATCGCGTCTTTAGGCTAATTCGCGGCGGGTGGGACCACCGCGATAATCCTCGAGGTGTCTGCTTCGGTCAGCCGTTGGAAATGAACCTGGACGAACCGAAGCCGCGGCACGGACGCGTTTTCACGGGGTTCCTGGAAGTGAAAGCAAGAAACGGAGTAAAGAAAGGCGGCGGAAAGAAGAGATTCGTGGAATGAAACGGTGGATAAAGAGGAAGCCAGCGGAAGAATAAGAAAAGGTCGGGGGATCGGGATTGAAATGCATCGGAGGGGAACGAAAAGTTGATCCTCTGCTGGAAATACCGGCGACCAATTGTTCGTAGAGGGACGAGATTCTTTCCGTTGTCAGGAATTCAACTCGCGAGTCCAACGACGAAGTAAATTCCTGAAGGACGGAGGATGCACGGTGGAGGGTTGCCTGTGATGCTTCGCGGTGAAACGGATCCGAGATTTTTCGAGAGCCAAAAAAGGGGCCGAGCTCTCGTAATTGGGCCTGCACATCCTTTTACCTTGTCGTTCGTGCCACTTGTTCCCGTGCTGATCTCGGAAAGATCAAGAAAGATCGTACGATGAGATTGACGCTTTTTTTCCCGCTCGCCATCGATCCAACCGATCTATCTGTATATATGTATATATATATATATATATATATA